TTGAATTGTAAAATCAAATTTTTCATCTCTGATAATGGTCCCGAAAATCTCAAAATACTGTGTTGTTCTATAAAATTCTAGCACCATATTCGATTAAAAGTTCCCCATATTTATCAAAGGGTTTGTTATAAGCGTTTCACTCATGATAGAAACATAAATCCAGGAGATTTATTCATTGATGTCTGCTGACTTTTCATAGTTTGAAGTAAGGTTTTTAAGCATTATTCTATCAGCGCAGACGTCCAATTTCAAGCTACGAAAAATATGTGAACTCCACTGGATGGAGTTCGTCGAGTTCCACTTGAAGCATAGGTACGAGAATTGGAACATTGGTCAAAGTAACTATGGCCAGATTTTACAAAATAAAAAGCATTTAAGGATTTTTTGGATTTTTCGAAATTTCAGGAGAATAGTTCAAGTCTAGTTAATCGAAATATACTATTCGATAGGATATACAAGGTTCTACTAGTAATAGGAGTATGGACGTTGGAAATTAGCTCTAAAGAGCATCAAAAGGTTTAATCGAATGCGATGCTTACTTCACCTACTGGATGGTCACTTAATACTTTTCACTGAGATAGCTTGAGTAAACTATAATCTAAAAAAATGCTACTATACTTTAAGCGAACAGCTAGTCATCGTAAACGACCGTTTATAAAAGTATACGATAGGAAAACGGCAATCGTTTTCTGGATTGTTTACGGTCATCGGCTCCGACCGTTTACAGTGATATCCGACAGTCGTTTACAGCTAGCGTTCAGTTACGATGGCCGTTTACGGATATTTATTACGGTCATCGTAAACGAGGGCCGTATTTCATCGTAACACTTCGTTTACGACAACAGTAAACGACTACAAAATACGGTCGCCGTTTTCACCGTGAGTGATAGGTATACGGCCGTTTACGATTCGGGATGATCGACCTGGGTTTGGATAACTCCGACTTGCATCATTGAAATGAAAAAAGTTTCGATACATACTTATAGTTATTTTAGATTATTTGATTGTTCATGATCGATTCGCGAGCACAGTCTTAAAAAAAGGGAAGATATCGATGTTAAATACCAAGAATATAGAAAATCGTAAAATTGTAATTTGCACCTCTGAAACGAAAAAGAAAAATATGTTGTTTATTTGAAAAATTACTTATACACTTCAATTCGTAACCATTTGTCAACCATTTCAATAATCTTATTGGAAGATCTAGAACAAAAAGAGGAAAGAAGTAAATCGATAAAAAGATTTGATGTAATAATAAATTTGGAATATATTGACTAGTTCAGTATTAATAATAATATTATTGCTGTTGATCGATCTGAACACATTCTAAAAAAAGAGAAGAAACAAAAATTAAATATACAAGAATGAATTGTAATTTGTGGAATTATAACTTGAATCACTGAAATGAAAATAAAATATTGAATACTTAAGGATAGATATTGCAGATTGATTCTTCTTGATAGATAAGCGCACACAGACTAAAGAAGAGAAGAAAAGAAAAATGAATATGTAATTTATTTATATTAGATAACATAAAATAAAATAATTGCAATTTTAATTTGCTTTATCCCAACTTGCACATGTGAAATAAAAAGAATAGAACAAATATTATTTATTAATATACTTATCTAGAGTTATTTTAAATTGATTGCTGAAGATCAAAACGAACATATTCTAAACAGGAGAAGAACAAAACATGAATATGTAAGTAATTAATGTTACAGAACGGAGAAAGAAAATAAAATGACTGTACTTAGGATAATTCCAACTTGCACCACTGAAATGAAAAGAAAATATTCAATACATACTTATAGTTATTTTAGATTACCTGATTGTTCATGACCGATACCCGAACACAATCTAAAGAAGGAAAAAGAAAACTAAATAAATATCAGCTTCATTACCATTAGATAAATGAATAAGAAAATAATACCACCTTGTATTATTCAAACTTACACCCATGAAACGAAACGAAAATTATACCGTTTTTGCGAAACATTACATAAACCTACATTTGATGGAATCGAAGACACTCAATAATTAAGATTCTCAACAAAAAATCATATACCCATCTCTACAGTTTCATTCGTAACCCTTTCTTAACCGTTCAAAAACAATACACATATATATAACATCTAGAAAAAAAATGAAAGAAGAAAATCTGCAACATATTTATTATTTCCATATGCATACATTTAAAAAAAAGAATAGTTATCTTTCAATTCTCCATTGCACAAGTTAAACAAAAACAGCAACATTTTAATTTGCGGCATTGTAACATCCATCACCGAAACGAAAATAATATATCCAATATTTAATGATCGTTATTCCCCATTGATTCTTTTTCACACATACCGGCAGACACAACCTAAAGAAGAGAAGAAAAGAAAAATAAGCATCTAATTTAATTAGTTTGAACGAAATAAAAAAAATATTCCAACACTTATCAACAGTTATCCTGTACCGATTACTGAACATCACCACGAACACACTTCAAAAAGAAGAAAAAAAATACGCAGCACATATCAATCCACTGAAATCTAAACTAAAACTTCCATCCCAAACCCAATCAAATGCTGTCAAAACGGAAATGAGAACGACCGCTATTCAGGAATTTCAAGAACACATGGTATGTCATGAGATATGACAAGGACCACCATGCAGGACTTTTATTAACGCATGGTATGTCATCAGAAAATGAGAACGACCACTATTTCGGACTTTCAGCACCACATGGTATGTCACGAGAAATGACAACGACCAGTATTTAGGACTTTCAACATCACATGGCATGTGATGAGAAGTGGCAACGATCACTATTAAATAGATTTCGTGGAAAGCAAAATGTTTTATTATTTAATAAGTTGACATAAATAAGAAACAATCATATTGAAGCTGATATTGGTTGAAGTATAGAAGTTCGATTGAGGAATTGATTTAGTTCGAATAAAAACTTAATAAAATTCCAATAATTATTAATAAAAGGTTTATTTGTATAGAAATGAATCGTTTTCAACTAGATAAATCAAAATAGAGAATCGACTGTTTTTTTTTGTTCCTTATTGTCAATAAAATCATGTCTTCTTGTTATTAGATCATATTCATATTATTATCAATGCAATAATTGAAAAAGCAAATATAAAAAGAGAAATCTTTGAAAAGATTTAAAAATCGTGTACTAAAATTTTTGATAGCCGAAAAATAATTCTCCGTAGAGAAAAAAAGGATGAAGAAATAAACTAAACAGACAATGTGATATTGGGAAAATTCTAAATAGAATAAACATATGTAAAGGATAATAACTGTATTAATTTAATGATAATTGACAAAATGTTTCATTATGATGATAATAACTAGAGAAGTAGTGCATTACTGTATTGAATATTTATTTATAAAATTTTATGTATCTTTGTCGGTCCGAAGAAAACAAAAAAGCGATAAAATAAAATAGTTATTTTTTTGGAACGAAACGAAATTCTTTTCGTTTTTTTAATTGTTTAACCTGAACATGGAATTTCTTTTGAATGTTTCAACTAAATATTTAAAAAGATTTTAAAATAAATATTAATTTTCTTTTATTTTGAGTAATGAATTTCTATTTGACATATTAATATTCGTTGCTTAAATATCTTTCGTTTCTCAATATAAATTTAATCTATAGTTTAAATTTAATATGTGATATTTATTATAAAATTTTATTCGAATTTTATTTTGTTGAATGAGAAAAGCAAATTTCGATGAATTTCGAATAATCAGTGAAAGATAATTTCTGTTGACAAAATCTCATCGAAGAAAACCCTTCAATAATCCTCCTCATTCTTGTGGGTGTGGGTGTGATTGTTCATGAGGAGAACACCAGCGCGCACACCCACACCCACACCCACACTTTGATCAAAATGAACACGCATATAAACCCAGCCACACCCATAGCATCGCACACACTAAGTATCCACCTATAGATTATGCACGTGATTTTACATTGTTAAAATAGTCGATTGCACGTTTATTTTATCTTTTAATAGCTTCTGTCTTGTGATTCGTATATTTATGGTACGAAAAAATGCTGACGTTGTTTGAAGTGAAGTCAAGGACTTTCTTCTTGATATACAACAATTGCTTTATGATCTCTGGCAAGAGATATAATAGGTAGGGAGCATCAGTATGATTTATTGCACTACTTTTTTACTCGCAAAAAGGAACATTGGATTTTATTGGTAGCACGGTCGCATTTTTAGCTATCGTATAATTGATGATGCAGCTCTCTCAAATTTTAAGTTTATTCGGTGCTGGCATTGGCGTTGTAACAGTTGTTTTGGGCATTGTGGCCCTTGCTACTCCAAGTTGGATTATTTTAGCTGCTCCACCGGCGATAAACTCTACTTATAGTCTGTTTCAACGTTGCAATGAATCTTCAGTTCCACAATTAGCCGGTATAGTAGGATGCGCGAAACTGAATGGCTTCCAAACACCTCAGGGCCTTACGATTAGTGGTGTTATCATCGTTGTGCTCGGTATTGCTAGTTCAATTCTTCTAGGCATGTTGGACACTAACAGATATATTAAATATGTGCCACACTTTCTACTCGTAACTGGGCCCACTCTTATCCTCATCGGAGTTCTCTTTTATGTAAAGAATGTGCTAGCGAATTTTACTGCAGGCTCAACTAAGCTAGATTTGGGCTACAGTTTCATTTTGATTGTGATTACCTGTATTATCGGCTACATTTCTTCGGCTTATTTTGGATTCGTCACTGGTCTTGCCGAGGGTTATTATCGTGCAGGTCTTACCAGTCATTCACATAATTGACTTTCTTTGAAGCCGGAAATGAACTGGAATCATCCATTCTATAGATTGACACCAATAAACATTTTTTTAAAACTCTGATACTGATGTTTTGCTAATATTGTTAGTTGGGAGTAGTTTCAGCTTTTTTTAAATATTATTCATAACAAGAAGGCGATGGTTTTAGACGATTGCACTTAATGATACAGGTCGGCACTAAGTTCTTTTATCTCACCTGAATCAAAGGTAGGACTCGTGCGCACGTATTGCACTGAAAATTAACACCCACCACCAACCACGCCCTGTTGTCTACTGTTTTGAAAAATGAGAGCTGCTAAAAATGTTGGCAGATAGCTGGGTATATTTTCAGTTTTTGCCATGGAATAACCATGTCTCCTCCTTATCTAAGTCAATATCTTCAACATTTTGAAATTAAATCTATTCTTAGCTTTAACATTTGATCTTCCTTAATGCTAGCTGTGGCGATACGTATATGTTTTATTTAAGTTAAGAAAGAAAAGAAGATTAAAATATATATATATTTCAACGGGTGTATTTTAGAACAGTTTAATCTATAGAATAGCTAACATCCACGAGGTACCAATGTCGTACTTGAAATAAATGTTGTATCACGTGTCATAAAATCTCTTGAATATGGCGTTTTATACATTTGTTCATCACGTAATACCATCATATCACTGTTAACGAAATAGAAAATAAATGAATTTTCGAAATAATAAAACTTACTAAGGCATTTTCGGTTGATAGCTATGATAAATCTCATCATTTTGATCCGGTGCTGGTAATGTTACATAATCAACACGCGGTAAAGTACTTACACTTCGAAGTGCATAACTGTCTGAATGTGATGCAAGCTAAACTTATATTGAATGAATCTTACGAAATCACAGATTTCAATAGCGTACATTTTTAAAATGTTGTAATCCTTTATGGTCATAAGATGATGGATTTTCATTAGGAAAATGTTTCGGTACAAATACATGCCGTTCGCGAGTTGCTTCGAAATGTGGATAATAGGAATAATATCGAGGTAAACTAGTGCCTGTTAATTGTGTTTTGATTAATATTTACAAAATTAATATGCCAATATTAGTTACCCTTTTTAACATTTTGTAATGCTTGCATTGCATCGATTCGGTAGCTCTGTGAATATGCATATTTTGGATCATTTAGGAATTTTTGTGTATCATAACGAAGACGTGGTAAACATCCGGCAACGCTATGAAAATATTTTTTATAGAATAAAAATCATAAAAAATAATTCAATATTTATATACCTGTAATAGTCATTACCGGGCAGAAGATATGAGCCTAAATAAGAATAGATGTACATAGATAAATGAAAAACTCGGATAAATTTACCATTCGGTAAACTGCCAGGTAAAGCTGATGCTGGATGATAATTTGCTTTACTATTGTAAACCGACATATTATTTACCGCAGTAACTAATAAAATATTCTCTTTTTTTCCTCTTGTCTAAAATTATGACGTTTGACTAGATCAAAAAATGGAATTCAAGTGAGAAAAAATAAGAAAAGGGTCGGGAAGGAAAATATTTACATTAGAATGAATCCTGCACTACAGAGCATCAAATTTATTTTTCAAAAAGAGAAAATTTTGCTTTACCATCCATTTTAATTCAACATATCGATTTTAAGTTAGTTAAAGCAGATACTAAAAAAGTGTCTCTAAAGCATATTTCTTCATTTTTTGATTGATTACACGCTCTAGTTATCGAATTTCTTATGAGAACTTTCAAATAGTAATAAAAAAATGATTTTTTTATTCCAATCTGCATTCGAAATATATAAGTCATCGGATAGATTTATAATTATAAAAGTAATTCGAGATAGAAAGATTCATTATAATATTGAATTTCTCAACAAAGTATCGAACACTGAATGGACTCACAAAACACATTCTTCAGAAAATCTCCAAGTACTCTTCTATCCACTCGAAATGCTTAAGATGTAAGTGCTCTCTATCATACACATTTGAAAAAGTTTTGTAAATAGAATTTGTAGAAGAGACCATAAGATATCTTAAAAATAAACCTTGATTTTCTATGATGCTTCAACCGACGGATTCGAAAGAAACAAAATCAATACGACGATGCTGTCTCTCTCTCTCTCTCTGTTCGTTACATGACTTTTATTTCATTTCATGTAGCCATTCTACACGACATTAAAAATCGATTGCCAAGACAACACCCGTGTGTTGTGATTAATCTGTTGCATTCGCATTCATAGATGGAGTAAAATAGATGTCATTCTTTTACATTGATCATTCTGATGCTTCAATAAATATAGAAATAGTGATAGTTTTTGAATAACGAAGATTATCTTAGTCATATTGCTTGAACGTTGATTTAACAAACAGAAGACAAGAGCACTCATCAATCGAAGTTATTTTTTATTATTGGATTTCGGAAATATCCTTACTTAGGATTGTTACTCAAGTCAATATGTGAAGGATAGTTATATTTCGCTGTAGGCTATGATGTTTTTGTTCATTCTTATTAAGACAACCGATCCTAACACGGTGAAGAGGGAACAAAATTCTTATTTCTTTCCAATATGTATCGACAATCGATACCTGATCTAGCGTTCACATATATATTACAGAGTGAGATGAATTTAAAACTATGCAGTCGAGTGCTTCAGAAATTTTGCTGAATCTACAAATTGTCACAAAAATGACTTCATTCGATTTTTAGAATGTTTACTGGCGGTTACGAGTAGGTAAATAGGCGGCTCACATCCATCTGCGCTCGTACTCCAAAGAAAAACGAATAGTTTTGTCTACGATTAAGCTTATCGCCACATTTATAAAAAGAACAGGATCATTGATATTCAAATACCACGTAATACGACTTGAATAATTGAATAAGGCACTGAGATTCAGAATTGCTTAAATGAGTGTGCATTAAACGTTTTAGTCTTTCCATTTAACATGCATTTCTAAAACACATAACACAAGCACCCTCTCTGGTGAGCACGGCAACTGTGATAAATATTTCTGATTATTTAACTTATTTAAAAAAATAGACAAAAGAAAAGAATGACTAATTATATCATGCGAACCGATCGAAAACCACCGGTCAACCTTGGTTAAACGGTAGAGTAATCTGTTCGCTCTCAAGTAACCGATTATTTATCGGGTTAACTCGGGATTTAGCCAACCGTTTTCGATATCTGTATACGATAGAGGTAAGCGTATATATACCAAATATAATATAGATTGAACCAACAGTAAAGCAAAGTATACCATCAACATTAGTTGGCAAGGTCCATATAACAGAAGTAACCGAGTTCTTATCATACCAGCATAAGCTCGATGTTCCTTTCTAAACTTAGACACAACTATTTTCCTAGTAAAATCTATTATAAACTTCATCTTACTTGATGATCGCTTTGACTACGTTGTTCATATAATTTGATGCTGCTTGTAATAGATGAACCGTTGAAAATTGAATAAATGACCTGGGATTGTTTGTCATAGCAGGTGGATCTTTCACTCCTGTGTCCATAATAAGATTTGCATGTTTTCTGTTGAAATGAGTAATCTTCCACAAGACATGTTGTATTTGTATGAAACTGTTTTATCTGATGAGTTTGAACACAACTGATAGCACCCGCTGTTATGATACATATCCCTATTAAGCCATAGAAACATAAACCAAATACAACACATATTTTTAACCATACGCTTGGACTATTCGTAGTCGATTTCATTTCGAATGATAAATGTACAGATTTTTACTAAAACTGCTTAAAGAAGCATAAGTAGGGAAATTCCAACATAGTGTCACGAGTCTTACTCATATTTTCAGTCTTTATTCAGTCAACCGTAGCGCAAAATGATATTAACAAAATAATTGCTAATTAAAAAAGTACGCAATTCAATGCGCAAGATGACGTAATAAATATGAGCAAGCCTTTTGAGATAAAAGAAAAAACCTTCACGAATAACAGCAAACCAGAGATCATTGACATGATTTTTACTGTACATTTTATTTTCTCAACTTTTAAAAATGCACAGTGCTGTATTGTTGTATGTTTCTCAGCACTTTCTAGAGTTCGTTATGGTCGTTGAAGAAAATGTCCATGTACATATGAACTGTCTAATCCATACAAACTCAAAAACTGTCATAATATGTTCGTTTCTATTTTCATAAGGTATAAAATTCTAGAGGTCAATTGGGGTCAGAAAATCCTATATTTTAAAGACAGTATGATTCATGAGTACAATGGCTTACAAAATTCAATATATTTCATGCTTCATTCTTAGATAGAAACAAAATAAGTTAGAATATGAATTTCTGCTTTATGCATTTGCTTTACTAACAATAGAATTGACCCTAACGTAAACTCCTTATCTTTTTTGTTCTCATTAACTGAAGTGACACAACTTTGAATAGGATACAATTCAATACCTAATCTGCCAACGCACGTTCAGTACTATTTGAAATCTAAGAAATCATATTTTTAGTTTTCAATAGATGCCTCCATACTTGTCCGCACTGAGTTATGACTAAAACTATTCCTTTGCGATCAAGACTTTCTTGAGTTAAATATGATTATCTTTATCATCTATAATTCTCATGCTTCAAGTAATTGGCAGTTCCTTTGATTACTTGTACAATCAGTTATTCATCACCAATAAGAAACACGAGCTAATATTACATCATTTGATCGTGCCATGAGTAAGAAAACAGTAGGTAGGTACTTTGTTAAAACATTTTCGTTACACTGATTCTCATTATTCGTGTGATGATTCACATCAATCGGCGCCATGTACTTGTATCACGAACGTGTGCTACGTTTCCAACCTGAATGGGTAAGAGGAAAGGAATCCTATACTTTGGTAAAATGTCATTACGTTGCTGCTTGGGTTTTTTGTAATTTATGCGATAATTAATATCACGTTTTGCGTCCTCAGTAAGAATAACAAGACGATATTGTTTTTTTACTTTTTGTTGTTCTTATCAATGATAGCGTAACGATTCTATAATTGATATTTCTTTTAGTCTTATTTTAGTAGTCGAAAAGAAAAATACGTATTTTTTTCAGTGTCTCAATCAACAAATCTGTATGAAGATTTTTTCACTTAAGGGACCTATTACAGAAGTTTAGGAAGGTTTTCCTTCGAGGAACGATATTATGAATTGTTGAAATTCCTCCTCCACAAAAACATTTACAACATTAGATTGGTCATCATGGTGAATGTTTCTATATCAAGGCTTGCTTCGCAGTCTAGAACTTGAATAAAGAAATACTTCATGTATATTCCAGTCGTATGTTACTTATGCACGGTCTTCGGTAGTCTTTTCAAACCGTCTGTTACAGCATGTCACAGAAAATGAAACAAAACTTCTTCTACGGTCGGTCTGTGATGGTGAGTCTAAATTTCTATCCTATATCCCAGGTCGATGATTCTGGACTCCGGAACCGACAGAAAACAGCGTGATTTCCCGATACTTTCGGTGATTTCCAAGGACATTCCAACTGGAAACGGATCGGAAAACTATCCGGAAGGTGGAAGCAGTATTTCTTTTGCAAATTACCGAATTGTAGCCGGAGTATTCCGCACTATTCCCGTCACCGTAACCATTGGGAAAAATTCTCGGAACCGACCCGTGATCACAAGAAATACAGACGGAACACGCGATGGAACGAACGAAATCCGACCGATTCCAGCTAGGAAAATTTCGGAAGCTTCAATCTTCCTGAGATCTTGCGCAGATTTTCTGACACTGCTACACCTCCTCATCCTGGATAGTCGCATCCTCAACAAAGTAAATGTCCAGCCAGCTTCCCTAATGCCAATAATCTTACACACTGCTTCAAAATCATTCACTATACCATAGCAGAAGCAAAGAGATCCCAACCTAACTACTGTAAACTTCAGATATTTCGAAGACTTTTTCCTCGAAATCAACCGATAAAGGCGCTTAAAGGTCTTTTTAATTCATTACCTTTCATGTGAGGTATTTGAAAGCAGCATTCATTCACTTTTATCGAAAGGGATCCTTAAAGATCCTTTTCACTCGATGAACTAATTTGAGGTATTTCGAAGTGCCCTTGATTTTTTTCATATACAGCAACGTTTAAAAGACTTTCTTGGTAAACTACGACGAATGACAGTTCGAAATGCTTGACGTAAGTGGTATTCATGAAGAAAGATCTTCAAGGTCCTTGTAGAGAAAATGCAAGAAATGTTCTTTTCAAATACTCAAATGCAAGGTAGCGACTGAGTAGGACCTTCAAGCGTGTTTCACGATTGCTTGGGAGAAAGTAGAGTTGAAAATACCTGAAATAAGGGATATTGTATAAAAAATGATCTGCAACGAGCTTTTTAGATAAAAATGCAATAAATAGGGCTTTGAAATATCTGAAATTGAAAGAGTAGACTAGGGAAGATCTTTACGGATGCGTCTGAGTGAAACACAATAGAGGAGACTTAGAAAAAATAGTTAACAAAAATTGAATGAAAAACTCCCGTATTGTTTAATAATGCATATAAAAGAAGAAAATATTTACTGCATTATTTTGTAGCACATCAACCAAATATGTTGCACCTTCATCACTAATACGATTTGATCCAAGCAATAGTTTGCTGATTTTCTAAAACAAAGCAGAAGTCTAAATTCATATACACTTGCTAAACATCCAAAGACAACAACCGAGTTTGCTCGAAGTAGACCAGCGAGATATTGTGCTTCAGTATCGCCAATTCCGCTATTAGTAAGATCAATAGCAGTAGCCATGTTTTTAGTAAAGAAATGAATAGCAAATTGAAATAATTTGATCTCTATCGTGTCATGGATCAAACACTGACTGATATACTGTAAATCTATATTTGGAACATGTGTATTTCGAAGACCTATCGTACTAAAAATCTATAAGAAAGAGTAATAGTTATGAATTAAACCCCTCCTCATAATAGAAGCCCCCATGGGCTTCTATTTTGGGGAGGGCTACTAATACGATTTTCGGACATAAATGTTAAAAAATTATAAGTGAGTATTATTTCAATAATTTTGATTACTTATTTATTATAAGTTCAAATAATCTTACAAAAAAATCATAAGATTTTACACGGCATAGATAGAAGATATTCTTCGATTTCTTCAACTTCGTACATTGTCAATACAATAATGATGTTAGGATGAAAATATGAAACAATGACACCTGAGTGATTGTTTCAGCATATATATACTCATTTCTTATATGCGTTCATTCGTTTCAATCTGCTTGTGTTATAGGATTACAAGAAAAGATGCTGACACATAAGAAACGTTAATTGGCTTATATCAAATTTTGTACTTTCATTAGAGTAATCAATAGATTGATCATAAAAATGACAGTTATTTAAGACCACATGTACAAATTGGATTAATTTATATTAGAAACATATCATGGAATACATGAAAAGAACGAAAATAAAACATGAATAATGTCCTTCAATATCCCACGCGCAATAAATTACTTCTTCTCTACTGTTGATAAATATTATTGATATTGATGATATCTGGGCCTTCTTGTACATTTTCTCATGTACAAAAATTTCTCAATACAGATAATATCCGTCCGGAAGAAAAACCGATTTTTGAAAAACTGGCAAAGCGGACGAAGTATAAGTGAGGGGGCTTCTAATATGGAAGGGGTTTACTGGTACGGACAATTAAATATCAAACAAAAGAAGTTCTAGTATATAGCGTCTTTTCCGTGCCAGTACTGTACTATTTATAAAGAAAATAAAGAAAAAATAGACAATTAGATGAATCTTCAGTAAAACAACTTTTTCTGTATTCATTTCCTATTTTATTCTGAAGAAGATCGATTTCATCGATTGAAACGTCAATAAATTAAATAATAAACAAGAGAATTATTACGTTAACACAAAGGAGGAAGAGAAAATATTATACACAATCATAATAATTGAAATCAATCAACCCACTCATATAGTCTTCTATAAACCCTTGAGTCAGTTGAAGAGATCCATCTGCCTTCTCATATACCATTTCATAAACCTTTTCGACCATTCATAACCTCCATAAGCACTTCCAAATGAGTCTTCTGAGGTTGAGCTTTGGGTATTGTATTTTTATCAACCCTTCTAAGGGGTTTATGAAAGTGCAACGTATAGCAAACCCTTTTAGGATTTATAAAATTTATCAACCCATTCATAAACGCTTCATAATCAGTTTCAGCAAATCATAAACCCCATATTCATCCCTCTTTTTAGGGTTTATGAAAGGGTTTATAAAGGCCTCATAAACCCTTTAAAAGGGTTTGTGATACATTGCACGTTCATAAACCCTTTTTTCGTTTTTTATTCTACGGATATTTTTTACAGTGTACCCGGAACCGGCCGTTTTCAGGCCGCACTGTTCGACCTGAGACACTAATCAGTGCTTGTACCTTGAAATAGGAATGTCGCTGAATGAATTCATTATGTCAGGATGAGCATAGTCCCTAATTGTTTAGATTTCATGGAACCGATACATCCGCCTGGAAAAAAGAATGCCACACGATATTCTTGATATATCATCTTCATACATTGACATTTTGAGAAATGTAATTATATATTCGGATAGCCCATAAAATTCTCTAAAACTCAATATATGTACATTTTGAATTGCACTCATTCGCTAAAGATAAATTCAAGTGCAGTAAAGGCACCTTCGTCGTCAGATTCCCCAAAAATTCATTTTCTGTTCTTTTATATATAGAATAAGTTATTACAAAAGTAAGTATATATTCTGAAAGCTCGTCAAATTCTCTATCATCCTGTACTTCTGCCAGTCTGGACTTGTAATTGTTCAATGACAAATATGTGGAGTATTGCTATCGTACTCTAGTTCACATGAAGTCATGCAGCAACCCATGAAAGATTATCTGCTTAAACCGTAAGAGGTATGGATAACGAATCACCCATCAAACTTGATTTCGGCGCTGCTGGGAGTGCTTGGTCTTAGATAAACTACTTTCCGCAGGGATATCGCTTGAACTCTCAACAACATCAGACCTAGGAACGTGATGCGTGAGTACATTAACAATACTCGAAAGATTTGCCCTCAAATAATTGCAAATCAAGGTTGATAAAACCACAGGCTAATAGTGAATTTCACGCGCTTTCAGAATATATATATTTATTTTCGTAAATATATTTTTCTGTATTTAAAATAAATTAGAAAAAATAAATTGGAAAGGAACAAACAATGAATTTCGGGGGATCTGACGATGAGGGTGCCTTTACTGCAGTTGAATTTATCTTTAGTGAACGAGTGCGATTCAAAATGTCTATGTATGAAGATGATATATCAAGAATATCATGTGACATTATTTTTTTTCCAGGTGGACACGGCATGTAGACAGTTGTTCAACTCTGCGATATAAAAATAGATTTGTTTTATTAAGGATAAAAAAAGTTCAGTGTTATGAATGATAAATAGTTTTAAATGTGGATAACAAAGATAAAAAGTTCTTCTAAGCATTCGGTTTGGTAAGACAACAATAAACGACCCACAACGGGAAACTTAGCCCACCTGTAAACAAGCAGAGAAGCCAGCAGCAACATTGTACATCGGAATTTCCTCCTCCTTTAAGGGCAGCTTTATGTTGATGTCGTTGTAGTTGTTGCGGCTGTGTTATTGTAATTTACCGTATCTCCTTCATATGGTGGAGCACCAGCATAAGGTGGAATAACTTGGTTTAATGTTTTGTCTTGTTGATCACTCACCATTGTTAAAAAGTCAAACTTCTGTATTATACGGTATGAAATCTATATTTACAATGAAACTGTCGAAAATGAATGCGCCATACACTATTTATTCTGTTTTAATTTGCTCATTCTTCTTCCAATTTCATAGTCAGTGAATTATTTTCGCTACTTCCGAGAAAAAAGAATTTATGTTTTTTTTACCAAGACAGGGCCGCTATGACAGATTGTCGCGAGACAAATCGTCGCGGACAATTCATTACGGACAAAACGTCGCATGGTCAAATCGTTACAATATATATACTGATCAAAAATGAAGTGCTAATCAATATGACGTATTCAAAAAATTAGAAAAAAATTCTGTTTCATCTTTGTAAATGCGATTGATATTTAAATCTCTAGATTGATAGCGATTTTAGTTTTATTTTATAATTCATTTTTTTCAATTAATTCGTTATATTATTTTCATTGATTTACATTACAAAATTTGAATTCATACTCTGAATAAACATTTTCAACAATATGCAATATTGCAACATTTTGCCCATGGGACGATTTATCCGTGCAACGTTTTGTCCGCAACGAATTGTCCGCGACGTTTTGTCTCGCGACGATCTGCCCGGTCACCCAAGACAGAGAGCGAAATTTATGAAGCGAACGATTTGAGTGCCGCCGTAATGTTGAAAGTAGCAGAATGTGGCGGTAGGTGTAGTTCTCCTCGTGATAGTAGGTACTTCTGTAAAATCCTATCTGTAAATTATTACTTACGAAATCAAACACAACAATTAGTCCATAAAAGTTTCAAAGGATCATGTGTTGTTTTTTCTCTATCGTTGTGCTTTCGTCTCATCTACTTGTATTCTTGGGTGTGGGTGTGGGTGTGAATCAGAGATGTGCGCAGGACAAGGCTGTTCTGCTGTCCTTGTATCGAGAATGCATCCCATTCCACAATGTTGAACAGTCCGGAATCAGTTCCGACAGTTCCGTTTATCACTTCCAACACAATTCCGAAATTCCCGGAATCACTGCCTATCAATTCCATCTAATACCCGGAATTCATTTTATCACTTTCGGCGTTCACTTCGGTCGATTATTATTACCCGAGTTTGTTGATTAAACTGCCACGCATCTATTGATTTGCTTTTCATCTGTCTTCTATTTTTCGACGGTTCTTTCATTTCTTCATTAAATCTACTCTTTTTTTCTCCTTTGTCCTGAATCATTTTCTTCGCGTTTTTTTTCATTCTTTACTTTCTGCTTCAAAATTGTCTACTTTATTTTGTCAGTTTCAGCTCGATTTCTCACCCATATTATCACGTAGATAAACTATGATACATGTTGATCCTGATTCATGATTTTATATAGATAGCAATATAGAAAAAACACAAGATATTAGTCGTATTGCGTAGCTTGAAATTAGTTTACGAGAGAGAGAGAAAATAGCATAGCATTAGTTTTTCTTCTTAATAAAAATGCCACAGGCAATGATTTTGTGAAAAAAGCACTATGTTCGTCGAGATATTTTTGAAGGTCTCCGAACAAAAAAGAGTCCTTGACATCATGGCAGCATTTTCTAATCATGAATGAGAATATGCGAGAAGTCTACACTGTAAAAAAAAAGGGTAGAATAATAAACCCTTTAAGGGTTTATGAAAGTGCAACGTAGACTAAACCCTTTTACCGTATGTGAAAAGTTTCTTAATCCCTTTCATATACCCTTAGA